GATTCATCCAAAAATCCTATAATGTAAAGCATCGAAGTGTTCTGAACAGGAACGATATCAAGTTTAGAAGAAATCATTGATTCAAGAAACTCCAAACTTTGAAAAATTCAAAACATCGAGAAATTTTTAAAATCTCGAAATCTTGAGAATGTCGATATCCTAAACATCGAGATCCCAAATGTCGAAATCCCAAAACTCGAAATTCCAAAACTCGAGGTTTCAAAACTCGAGATTTCAAAACTCGAGGTTTCAAAACTCGAGATTTCAAAACTCGAGATGAGGAATTCGAGGCCCTAAATGTCAAGATCCTGCAAAACGAAAACTTCGATTTTTGAAAATCCGAAAACTGTTTTGAATAGCCCTGAAGGTCGAGATTCTCCTGTATCGGTTTCAAGTCAAAATCGTTTCTGCAGCAGTGAAAAACAAGAATCTCGAGATCTCAAATCGAAAACAGAGATATGCTGCTGGATCGGTTTTGAAAGGCGATTCCAACAGTATAATATTTACAGATTTTCGTTCACAAACAAGATAACAGGTTCAAATCTCTATATCAAAGAAAAAGAGAAGAAAAGCAGAGGAGTTCTTCGTAAGATCAGAAAATTTGCAGATAGATTTAACCTGTTTCACGCCTCGGCTCTGATACCAATTGATAAACACAAATATTTAACAATCAAACAACCATAACAAGAAGAATAAGCAGATAGAAAGATATCGAGAAGATTAAAATCGAATCTGGTATACCGTGTGAAACCCCGCTGCTCTCCCTGGAGAAGGAGAGCAGCAGAAACCCTACTCTCTCTCTATCTCGCCTCTGCGTCTCTAAAGCCTCTCTCGATTGTTAGGGTTCCCGTAAGTTAGCCTCCTTTTATAGGAGAAGTTGGCTAACTTACGGGTTACAAGGAAGCTAACGGGCTGATACACATTTGTGGCCCGTATTACACGTTTAATTAATAACTACACAAATACAAAGATATTTAATTAGATTGGACACCATAAAATATTCCCAACAAATTTCTTTTCTTTGTTAATAGAAAGTCATGTTGCTAGGTAACATTAGAAGTATTATGTACAGAATGAAAGAAGCATGATGTACTGGCCCAGAATGGATCAAGGACATTGACCCATGTGATGAACGTCTGGAGTTCTACTATGTTCTGTATTTGATGGTGGGTAAAGATTTTAGTACTCCATAGTAAAGATTGGTTAAATAATACTACGTACATTACTTAGAATAATACACTCAGTGGGTAAATAATACATTACTCCGCGTGGATTGGCTCTTTTTGTGGAAGAAAGAAAAAGATGAGGTCAAGAAATGATGAAAACTTAGAATTGGTGGACCTATATATCTGGCATTAAATTCTTCAGCTAGAGTACTAACCAATGGACATTATAATTACTAACCTCCAGACCTGCAATTTCTAACCCGCAAAAACATCACTCAACGTGCTCTATTTCCTTGAGTTGCAGCAGCTACTGCACATTTTCACTTTTCAGATAGTAATCAAGAAAAGCATAGAAAACTGGACCGGTTTATTACATAGAAAACAGAGGATCGGTTTATATATGGACCTGAATAGAAGAAATTTATCTTTCAGACTGGGGAAAGAACTCGACATTCAGACATTGCTTGCTCCATATTTCAGTTTTAGGTAGACCACCTGCGTGTAATGAAGAACATAAAGTTACGTTACAACAACTTGATACTCCCATAAGACTCATTTGCAATATTTTCAACATATATATACGTATGCTAGAGAATGTACATTATGTGCTCTTTAATGCACAAATTTTATTGAGAAGCTAGAGCAGATAGGCAAAACAAGATGCTGTAATTAACTAGTGATCATGTTAGGAATATTTTATGATGTTCAATCTAATTTAATATCTTTGTATTTATGTAGTTATTAGTTAAACGTGTAATATGGGAGGGTATCAGCCCATTAGATTCTTTGTAATCCATAAGTTAGCCAACTTCTCCTATAAAAGGAGGCTAACTTATGGAAACCCTAATTAAGGATTGAGAGGCTTCGAGAGCATAGAGGCGAGATAGAGAGATTAGGTTTGTCGCTGCTCTCCTTCTCGAGGGAGAGCAACGACCCTTTACACGGTATACCAGATTCGGTTTCATCTCGATAACTTTCTATCTGCTTATTCTTCATCTGTTATGGTTGTGTGATTGTTTAGAATCAGGGATCATCAATTGGTATCAGAGCCGAGGCGTGAAAAAGGTTGAATCTATCTGCGTTTTTCGAATCTAACGAAGAACTCCTCTGCTTTTCTTTGATATAGAGATTAGCTCCTGTAATCTTGTTTGTGAACAAAAATGTGTAAAAATTATACTGTTGGAATCGCCTTTTTGAAACGATTCTACATCATATCTTCGTTTTCGATTTCTGCAATTTTTTAATTTCGAAGATCTCTACATTTAGATCTCGAGATTCTATATTTAAATGGCTGCAGAAACGATTTCGACTTGAAACTGATACAGGAAGAATCTCAACCTTCAGGGATTTTCAGAACAGTTTTCAGTTTTTCAAAATTCGAAATTTTAATTTTGCAGGATCTCGACATTTTGGACTTACGAAACTTCGAATTTTAGGATTTCGATACTTAAAGATCTCGACATTCTGAAGATTTCGAGATTTTAAGAATTTCTTGATGTTTTGAATTTTTCAAAGCTTGGAGTTCCTTGAAACTCAGAATTTTCGAAACTTGACATTCTTCACAGTTCATCGAAGCTTTACATTATAGGATATTTGGATGATTCCCTGCTTATTAAAGTTTTAAGAAATTATATTAAATGGGACTAAAACATGGTTAAAACTCCAAAATAGGACTTCAAGTTTTAAAATTCCTAAATGGGACTCCACATTAAAAAGTGGAAGTGATAGGACGAGTCACTCAACGCCTTATATCACTCTGTATCTTTATATTTGACTAATCTAACTCATTCCAATGTTTGGGACTGCATCATATGTTATAAGTGTAACTTATTGCCCAAATGGCTTGTTTTCTGCTAAAATCCAAATTAGTCTTAGACTCATAGGTAAAACACACAGATTCCTCGCTCCATCAGTACTCATGAAATAAAGTACGGAGTATGTTTTTTAAAAGTAATTCGTCAACCAAACTATTTACCTGGACTGGTGACAATTTTGTTAAGAGGAATTTCAACAATTGAGGTCATTATTAGGTTAGTGACCACATATAACATTGTAAGACTACATAAATCAAAATTGGGACAAGAGTTTTTCTGCTTCCTAAATAATACGGAGTAAAAAATTGCAAACGGGCTTCGTTGTGAAGCACAGTATAATCCCCATATCACTCATGTTCATTGCACTAGGGCTTGTGTAACTTCCTCTGCCGTGTACTCAGCACAGGGAGATGCCTATTTGGTGACGACATCATGACATCGGCTGCAAAGTGAAGGATGATCATCAAAGGAACCAACTTGAGGTGAATAGTTCCAGCATCTTTCACATATCTCTCCCTTTACCCGGGACACGCCAATCCAGACTGTACTTCCTCCTTGAATGACATACTCTCCTGTGTATGGTATTCCTTCAATCTGTTCATCTTCCAAGGATGAAAGGACCTCCACCTGCCAACCACAATTTTTGAAAATGTGTTCATGATTTAATAGGAAATGGAACAGATATACCCGTGTACTATATGTGTGAGAAGAAATATACCCTTATTCTATTATTTGGAACAAAAAAACTCTAAAAGTTGAAAGTGGGTCTAAATTTACCCGTCCTTAACGTTTCCTCACTACAATTAACATACATTCCATTGGCCTAAAGAAAACCCTTGTGACAGAGCAGAGAAAAAAATGGCTTGAACCAAGGATGAAGAAACGAAGCACACAGGGAGGCAACTTCAATTACTCAGACAGAGCAACGAATTGGACATAACTTTTGAATAATGAAATGGAGTAAAAGATAATGATGCTGGTATGTGTTTGACTTTGATTACTCATGTCTTTCCGGTGGGTTTTGTTGGTGTTTGTTACCAGATTACCCGCAAAGACCTGTTTTTGTTGTTTAAATTTCGGCCCAGTAAACAAAACATCCAACAACCAAAAGATACCAAGGGCAATACACACGTTGTAACTATTTCACAACCCTTGTATTTCTGCACTTTTTCAGAGATATTTGGGTTCAAGAGGACATTGTTTCTACAGATAGGTCAGAAATTTTAACCTTCCAGATTTAGGTGCCACAGAGTTGCTAGAAATTTTTCACCATTGTTGACACCAACAAGTGAGATAACTGGATTTGGGTTATTTGTTGATATTTATTATGGAAGACAAACTCCCAATTTCACCATTTAAAATTGTGTACTGATGTATGTTTACGAGATATTGAATTTATTTCTTATTCACATGTTATGCATATTGAACTTGGTTATTACAGTATATTTTTTTCTTCATTTGTGTTATTGTGTAGCCTGGTATCCAAAGTGAAACACTGATATCAGCGGGTTCTTCTGTACATCAGGCAACTATTTTTGATGATCCTAATATGGTCTCTAAGGCTTCCGATCCTTAGTGAACAAGCTATAAGGAAGAACAATGTCAAATGATGAAGTGGCTGACGGAAATCACGGAATATGTTAGTTTGTAGTGAGGAACGTTAAAGAAGGGTAGTTTTAGACCCACTTTCAAGTTTAGGAGTTTTTTTGTTCCAAAAAATAGAACGGGGGTATATATTTTCTCACACACATAGTATAGGGGTATATTTGTGCCATTTCCAATTTTTTAATACTAAACAAACTGGTGTCTTCTAATAAACTCCCATACTACCAAAATATTTTTGTATTCTTTTTTATTTAAAATAGAAGCACCTCATATGTTTAATTGATTATTAATTGATAGGTCCAGTGAAAAGATCCCAGCAGAGGAGGCCACAGTTAGTACCTGGGATGTTATAAAGATCCGATGCAATGCATCAGCATCATTTTTGGGTTCATGTGTTGCTTCCTTTAACCGTACAACAAGTGTGGTATCCGAAGTGTGCAGATAGACCATTGCCTCTAAACTGGCACCGATCAACTTCCCAGCACGTGCAACTTCGAGTGCTTTGTTCACTTCAGTTCTCAGCTGATAATAAAGGTAGTTCAATTAACTTAGTATAATACTAGTAATACATATCGAAGGTAAATCCCATTAACAGTTGTAAGCTATTTGATTTTGACCCCCCTCACCCCCACATTGGATCTCGATAACACATTTAATCAAAAGACGATCATAATCTGCAATGCTGTTTCATAACACTTCTATCGGTCACATATAAAGATTATAAAGTGGTACCTCAAGAACTTTGCCCCAGAAATCGATGTCTTCCACTGGGAAGGAAAGATGTTTCTCATTTGTTACTGGCCAACCTGACTCGAAGACAAACTTGGCAACATTTTCATCTTCAGTATTATACGGGAAAGGAAGATGCTGCCAGACATCCTCAGCCAGATGGGGTAAAATTGGAGCAATTATCCGTGTAATTGAAAGTAAATGAGTAGCAAGAACAGTTTGACAACTTCTTCTTGCAAAACTACTACTCCCACTGCAAATTAACGATTTAAACAAGTATGCAAATTTTATAAGCAACCACAAAAGAAGAAGAAAACATGTCATCCACAGAAGAACAAACCTTTTGGACGCATAATATGGAGTGTTTAGGATTTACAAAGAAGCAAGCTACTAGCTAGTCCATTAGGTGAAAACTAATTCTCGAAGTAGAAATCTGATCAAGCAACCACTTAACATTTCTTACTTATTAGTTCACTAGTTATTTATTTCGAACATTCCATTAAAGGACCTTGGTAAATATATGCTAAATCATACAACAGACACAGTTTGTAAGTGTTCATAATATTTCAGAACTCACCCAACATAAAGTCGATCTTTTGCTACATCAAAGTAAAAGTTGGAGAGATCAACAATGGCAAAGCGTTGAACAATCTACACGGATTAAAAATAAGTTAAGTCATAAGAAAGCAACAGGATAATTATAGTTCTCTGGCTGCTTTTGTTTGTTACCTGATAAATCTTATAAAACTGATAATTGTCATAGCTTTCTTTGATGCTTTTCACAATGGAGGAAAGCTGAAATAGTGCATGATGATCAATGATTGGAAGGTCATAGTATGGAACTTCATAGCCGAACTGCAGAAAAAACAAACATCTCTTCAGATACATGCAAAATGAAATGCACATCAAAACTTGGATGAGCTTACTACAAGATACTTTTACGAACCACATATCAAAGGACCATGCAAGATAGGACTGTAAAATGACTAGAATATACATGTCATCCAAAATGATAGAAAGGTTTACGGTAGAGAGATTGACCACACACAAATAAGTTCTCTTGGGATTCTTATATTTCTAAACAACATTTTCTACTTATAAAGGTTGAAAGCTACAAGATAAACAACTACTATTTTCCATGAATCGAGAAACTTCTTTCTCCTTTCTCAGATTATCATGCTTACATTCCAGTCATGGAGATTTGCCAAGAGAAACCGCAAAGTTCCTCGCAATTTCCGGTACATTTCAGACATTTGACGGAAGACTTGAGGGCCCATCAGTACATCTCCGGTATAATCTACACTTGAAACCCATAGTCTCAAAACATCAGCACCATAGGGTGGTGCTTCCTGTCAAATATGAGGTGTAAAAAAACTTGCAAATTACAATCCAGGAACTGAGATTGTTTAAAGCCCATTTACCAACTAATGACAAACCTACCTTTTGGTTTTTCCCTCCTTCAATTACAGTTCTGGGATCAACAACATTGCCCAAAGATTTACTCATCTTGAGCCCTTTCTCATCCAGGACAAATCCATGTGTAATGACGCCAGAATAAGGGGCTTTTCCTGTAATGTTTTTTATTGATCATGAGAACATAAGTTATCTTGGGAAAAGCAACATGAAGTCTAACTGTGTCTGATATAGAACCACTATGAAAATTAATACATGGAAGAAGAACGGACAGAAACCTATACAAGCAGCAAAAAGTGTATAAAACCGTTCATATCTATAAATAAATGATACATGATGGAAGCAAGTGAAAACACTATTATCATGTGACCTTTGCTTGCAATGCTTATCAGCAAAGAGCTCTGAAACCAACCACGATGCTGATCTGTTCCCTCAAGATACAGATCTGCAGGGTATTGAAGGTCGCTCCTCTTTTCCAGCACAGCAGCCCATGAAGAGCCTGAGGGGAAAAAAAGGTTTGCATCACTGGTGAAGAGGGTTGATGAATAAAGATAACATTGGACTAAGACTCATAATACCTGAGTCAAACCAAACATCCATTGTATCTGTCCCTTTCTTGTATTCTGATGCTCTGTCACGATAGTTATCAGGAAGTAAATCCTCGACCGTCATATGCCACCATGCATCGCTACCCTTTTGAGAAATGATCGCTGAAAAATATATAATTAAAATTTCAATATATTTTCATGTTTCAATAGCACATATCACTTTCTCAAGCCTAAAAAAATTCTATGCTTTTGAGCACTATTGCATAACAATACAACAAATATAGTTATACGCTTTATCTAAGGAGATCTTATATCAAATTAATGATTCAAAATAGTAACTACATTTCCATTACTCAAGTTTTAAAGATAAAATACACGTAAATCGTGTCAGGAAGAGTTTTACATCTAATGTGGTTGATTGTTTCTTCTTTTAGAAGTGGCTTCTTCGATGCCAGGTGATAAAATACAGGAATGGGAACACCCCATGTCCTTTTTCGGGATATACACCAATCATAGCGGCTAGAAATCATTGCAGAAATACGATTCACCGCCTGGAAATAAAAATAGTCACGAAATTCAGAAAAATATCGAATACAGATGAGATTAAGTAAAATCTACACGTTAAAACCCAAATCTATGATTAACCAAAACTAGTTGTTAAATCCTAAGAAGAGAATACTAACAATATGCAACCCATACATCCATAGGTGTGAAAATGAGCACTCATGATAACTTTTTCACACCCAAATGGAAATAGTGACAAATGACAGTCCACCATTAAACTAATACATAGTAGAATGCGTTAATTGACATTTTACAGAAGTCAAGGGTGTACAGTCAAATACCTGCGGCGGTACCCAATTAGCTCCCTTGACTGCATCTATTGCAGCTTCTCGAAATCCTTCCACAGAGGCAAACCATTGCTCAGTTTCCCGGATTATTGTAGGCTTCTTATCTCTCCAGTCATATGGATACTTGTGTTCTGTACAGGTATTTCTTAGAAATTTATAGAGGAAATTTAATTACAAAACCTTGTATAAATGAACTTAATCTACGTTGTTAAAACAGGATATAACTCACTATACGGCTCCATCAGGATCATTGAGTGATGTTCTGTTAAGTATCAAAGAGAAACGAAGGTGAACAATGAACAGTTCGTTATTCAATCAACAGAATAGAGAGAGAAAGTGCCTGACAGTTAAAGAGATGTCAACTCTCTAGTCCCAGCCAACTACCAAATTACAGCCTGCCTTATTCATCCCTTAGCTATCTATTTATAGAAGTCCACCCGACCCCCACAACATAATAGCTAACTACTTCTTATTCCCTTTCCTTCTGGAATACACTTTATCATAATAGCTAATACTATTATTATTATCAAGAGGTTGACTTCCCCTGACTCTAACATCACTCCCCCTAGAACTACCACCTTGTCCCCAAGGTGGAAATCAGGAAATTGCCTCTGAAACTGTTGCAGCTCCTCCCAAGAATCCTCAAACTCTGACATATTCTTCCAGTGCACCAAAACTTCAACTTTTCCAGCTAAGTTAATTCTGCTTTCCTTTACTTCTTCTGGACAGACCTGTAATTCCCATTCTTCCGAGAGACACTTTGGTAAAGGTTGTGTCTGTACAGTAGTAGACACAGTTTTCTTAAGGAGAGATACATGGAACACAGGATGCACTCTACAATCTTCAGGCAACTTTAGCTTATAAGCCACAAGATTGATTTTCTCAAAAGGCCCATAAAATCTAGGGCTCAACTTCTGATTACTTCTTCTTGCTAGAGTCTTTAATTTGTAGGGTTGAATCTTCAGATATACCCTCTCCCCTACAGACAGTTGGACCTCCCTTCTCTTCTTATCAGCTTGTTGCTTCATTCTGTTTTGTGCATTAGCCAGATTCTTTTTCAGTTCATCTATCATATCATTCCTTTCAGCTGTCAATCTATCCACCTCCTCCACAGCTGTTAAGGCCACATCTCCTCTGATTAAAACTGGTGGATCCTGCCCATATAATACTTTGTAGGGGCTGTTCTTAGTAGACACATGGTAGTTGGTATTATACCAAAACTCAGCCCAAGGTAACCACCTGGGCCACTGCTTTGGTTTCATCCCTGTCATACATCTGAGGTAAGTTTCCACACATTTGTTAACCACCTCGGTTTGTCCATCTGTCTGGGGATGGTAGGCAGTGCTATACTTGAGTTTGGTTCCAGCTAACCTGAATAACTCAGTCCAAAATGAGCTTAGGAAAACACCATCTCTGTCTGAAACTATGGTCTTTGGAAAACCATGCAATCTAACCACTTCTTGTAAAAATGTTTCTGCCACTCCTTTAGCATTATATGGATGTAATAATGCTATGAAGTGAGCATATTTTGTCAACCTGTCCACCACCACTAGAATGGTGTCTTTCCCCATTGCTTTTGGCAATCCTCCAATAAAGTCCATACTCAAATCAGTCCAAATCTGATTAGGAATGGGTAAGGGTTGCAGCAACCCTGCTGGACTTAGTGTTTGATGCTTATTCCTCTGACAAACTTCACAATTTCTAACATAATTCTGAATGTCCTTCCTCATCCCTTCCCAATAAAATAAATTGGAAATTCTTTTCATGGTTTTGAAGCTTCCTGCATGACCCCCCACTGCTGACTCATGAAATTCACTTAGAATTGAACTCCTTCTATCAGAATTCTTGGGAATAACCAATCTGCCTTTGTAATAAAGTAACCCTCTCTGTACTTTGAAATCTGGCACTGAATCTGGTTGTCCCCAAAGTGCTTGGATAATCTCTTTATATTTATCATCTTCCAAGAGCTCCTTTTCCAAGTCCTCCCACTCCTGACAGGTTATGATTGATAGGGAATAAAGTCCTCCTTTTCTAGAAAGAGCATCTGCAACTTTATTTTCCTTTCCAGGTTTGTATTTAATGACAAGATTGAACCCCAAAAGTTTAGTAACCCACTTTTGCTGATCCTCCCCCAATAATCTCTGTTCTGTGAGAAACCTTAAACTCTTTTGGTTTGTGTGCACCTCAAATTTTCTCCCCAACAAATAAGATCTCCATTTCTGTATTGCCAAAACAATTGCCATCAGTTCTCTCTCATAAACTGATTTATTCTGATTTCTGGTTGACAAAGTTTTGCTCATGTAAGATACAGGCCTCCCTTCCTGCATTAATACTGCTCCCACTCCTTTTCCAGAAGCATCTGCTTCTATAACAAAGGTTTTGTTGAAATCTGGAATTTGTAGAACTGGTAGCCTGGTCATAGCTTGTTTCAGTTCTTCAAAGGCATCCATTGCTTCATGTGTCCACTGAAATCCATCCTTCTTCAGTAGGTTGTTGAGGGGTGCTGCTATCTTACCATACCCTTTAACAAACCTCCTGTAATAACCTGTTAGCCCCAAGAATCCCCTCAAGCCTTTAGCATCCTTAGGTTTTTCCCAGTCTAACATATCCTGCACCTTACTGGGATCTGCCTCCACACCCATCCCAGATATAATATGGCCTAAGCAAGCCAACTTTTTCTGTCCAAATTCACATTTCTTTTGATTGACCACCAACTGATTATCTTTCAATATCTGCATTACTTTCTTGACATGATCAATGTGTTCCTCCTCTGATTTGCTGTAGATTAAGATGTCATCAAAGAAAACCAACACAAACTTCCTTAGATAAGGTCTCAACACCTTATTCATCAATGCTTGAAATGTAGAAGGAGCATTGGTGAGACCAAAAGGCATAACTATGTATTCATAGTGACCTTCATGTGTTCTAATAGCTGTTTTGTGAATATCTTCTTCTTTCACCCTGATTTGATGGTAACCGGATTTCAAATCCAGTTTAGAAAACAACTGTGCTCCTCCCAG